TTTCTTAAACTTCATTCTTTTCCAAAGAATAAGTTTGGGGGAGAGAGGTGTCGTATATCTTGAGTTTTTATCGCTTTATTGCATATCATATAATTGCTTACCGTAATTAACCAACTCTTTAAGTGTGAACGCAACAAACCAAGTAATTACGGTACCGCCCCTAGTGTGAACACTCGCAGTATATAAACAACCTCGTGCGAGTAGTTTTTATTTTTATTTATTTATTTATTTATTTTTTAGGTTATTTTTATTTTTTTTAGGATGCACGTTTATTTGCTTTATTAGATTAGTAATAAATTTGCTTGAGTCGATTCCTTGTGTATTTCTTTTGCTTTGGCTGATTGATGGATAAAACTTGAATAGTGAATGGTTATTTGATGCGATTGAGGAATTGTGATGACATTGTAAAAGTCATGTTTAGATGAAAATACTTGTGAACCTTGAATTAATGATATAATGAGCCTAGTGAGACTTGAGCCTTTATTCTTTGTCTGTGAGTGTCAATTGAATACCCGAGTTATTAGAATTTGCCTTGATTCTACGCTTAGAAAAATGCATTGATGATTTTGAGCTTTAAAAATGATTTAGGCGGTTCTTGAATTTAGCTCGTTTGGCCTTTTTCGTTGTCCTTAAAAATATTTTCCACTAGTAGCCCGTTTGAGCCTTAAACCTTTTTCTTGTCAACCGGTTTAACTTATTTATTTTGAGAGTTGACTGATATTTGGGATGTATGGGGATAACGGAGTTATTTATTGGATGATTGGGTATGAAATAAGGTATGATTGAGTTGCATTTACTGTGTTTGACCGAAAAATAAAAATGATGAAAAAAAAAGAAGAAAAAAAGGATAATAAAGAGAGCTCGCAAGTCGAATTGTCGGGATTCTACTCCTCTTACTAGTTGATTTATTTTGACATGTAATGAGTAATGGAAAACCACTCTAGGACACTTGGATGACCTCCAATGTTTATACCTAGAGAATGTTGTCCATGCAGTTTGATTTTGTTTGGAAAAAAATGGAACTCTCTAGAAAAAAAAAAAAGAGAAAAAAATATGGTCAAGTACTCCCTTTGCGATTTGAATTGAGCATATATGAGTTGTGTACGGTTTATTTTGGTTTGGGATAGAGAAACGGTTTTAATGGTGGGATATGCCGAGTAGTCTATTTACTCGAATGGTATGATTGTTTATTTGAGCCACTTAACCCATATATATCTTACCCTTGACCGAATAGCCTACATTACAACCTGGAAAGACCTTTTGATTTAAAGCTCATGATTATTGGTTGTGTTTGAAGTAGAGTGTTAGATGATTGACAAACATATAGTTAACTGGGTGTTCAATGTGACTTGAGCGTGTCCTTCTCTCTTTTATATATTGATGACATGTGAGTGAGGCACTTATATATTCCTATTTGAGAGTTCGTTGATTCAAGGTGGATACAAGTTAATAGTCAAAGCATGATAATTATGATCTTTCGAATTTTTCTCGGTTGCATTGAAGGACTTGAAGCTGTTCTAGTTTGATATCACTCATTATGCTTGAGTCTGATTTTCTTATTCTTGTTCGGGGACGAACAAGGGTTTCAGTTTGGGGGAGTTGATATTCATCATATTTTCATGCATTATGAGTGATATATTGTGATATTTGGCCCTGGTTATCGTGTGATTGTGCACCAATTCGTTTTATTTATTAAACTATGATAGAGGTGTTTTTGTCGTTGTTTTTGCAGGAAATATGCCCGGAAATGCGTTGGAGATGGAATCGGGACGAAAAACGGCGAAAACGGGTGCAGAAGAGGTCACACGACTCGTGTGGGTAGTGACACGGGTCGTGTGGGTTGAGAAAATAAGAAACGCAGCTACGGCTTTTTCACACGGGTCGTGTGGCTTGTCACACGGGTCGTGTGGCCTCACACGACTCGTGTGACCCGGTCGTGTGACCAGTCGTGTGAGTCTGAAAGTTCGCCGAAACGTTGAGAAAAGTCACACGACTCGTGTGGCATGTGACACGACTCGTGTGACGCGCAGACCAGACCTGCGGGGAATAGGATTCTTGTGCGATTTCTTCCCTTTTTCGACCCAGAATAGCCCTACAGTATAAAACAGACCTTAGGAACTCGTTTTTGGGACTTTTGACACCATTGGAGGCCTAGAGAAAGCACGAAACACACGAGGGATTCGAGGAAGTCAAGATTGAAGATTCGGGAACTAACGGCGACAATAGTTCTTCTTTCTTTTCTCTTTTTCTTCTTCATTGAACTCATGAATATATTTATTTTGAGTTTTGAGAATATGTTTAGTAGCTAAACCTTTTAGGGATTCTAGGATTTGCGAGTACTCGGATTATTTTATGAAGTGATTTTGTTTATTCATTCCGGTTTATCATTCGTTTATCAATTTCTTGTGCTTTTATTAATTGTGTGAATATAAGGGCCCGTATTTATGCATATTTGTGATTGACTTGAGACCGAGAGGAGATAGTTGATTGCTAGAATTGGGAAATTCATAACGTAAGAGACTAAACAGACCGAGAGGTTGATAGAATCTTGCGAGGGAACTAGAATCTTAGGAGCTTATGGGAGTTGATTGTTCATCTTGAGACCGAGAGGAGATAGATAACAATTAATATCTACGATTTAACTTGTTCGAGAGAAAGGTGTAAATTACTTTAGTGATTATCCCTACGAATGGTAGAATTAAATAAGGTTTGAATGAATAATTAATCTTTGTTAGAATAATCCCGAGGAAAGCATAGCCTAGAATCTATTTTCTCATCCTTGATTTATCTTAGAACAAGCCTTCATAGTGTTAGAATTTATTTTGCAATCATTCATTAGTTTAGAATAAAATCACCATTCAAATTTACATTAGACTAAATAATATTTAATCGTTTACATTTTGATACTTGGTTAATTTTGACAACAATCTCTGTGGAATACGACCTTGCTCGCCACTCACTACAGCTATACCGTACACTTGCGGATAGTGAAAATATTTTGCGAACAATTCTGCTCCACTATCTCTCTGCTCTGTTATGTTCCAGATGTTGTGGTAAGTAGACTTGACTGAAAAAGAGCCTTTCTTGTGAAACTGCCATACATGCCTATCTCTTCTACCAAGGATGAAAATGGGGATCTTTAAAATGGTTGTTGCTTCAACAAGGTTAAAAGTCTGTCCACTAATTCTCCATCCCATCTCCATGTTCCCTTCACAATAAGATCACTCACCCACACAAGGTTCTCCTTATCAGACTCAAACTGACATGTTGGTTTAAATGAAGGAAGTGTGGGGACCCAAGAAGAGTCCCATATTTTGGTGTTCTTCCCATCCTCCACCTGCACTCTAATACCCAATTTAAGGATTGGCATCACCCCAAGCCAGCTTTTCCACATCCATGAATTACTATTTTTGGATTTTACCTCCAGAAGACTCTCCTTTGGATAGTACTTACCTTTCAAAACCTTACTGATAAGGAGATTAGGTTGGGTCAGCAATCCCCGCAATTTTTTCACCAGCAAAGCATCATTAAACACACTCAAATCCTTGAAACCTATGCCCCCACTTTCCTTTGGTTTAGCCAACACATCGCAAACAGACCAGTGAATTTTGTTTCCTCCAATATCATTTTTGCCGCACCAAAATCTTGCAATGTCCCTGTTGATATGCTTACACACCCCTTTGGGTAATTTGAAACAGGACATAGTGTAAGTAGGGATAGCTTCAAGGACAAATTTTCCTACACACTTTCAACAAAAACTTCCACTCAACCCTGTCATAAGCTTTGGACATGTCTAATTTAAGAGTCATGAAACATTTGTCTCCTTTTCTTTTGCTGTTAAGATAGTGCAGGCATCCATTAGCAATAATCACATTATCAAGGATTTGCCTCCCAAGAACATAGGCAGTCTGGTAGGCATTAATGCAATCACTCAACACAATTTCAGCCTATTAGCAATAACTTTGGTAATTAGTTTATAAATCACAGTACATAAAGCTATAGGCCTGAAATCAGAAACACACACTAGGTTTTTTTTTCTTGGGGATTAGAGTTAGCACAGTATGATTGATCCCTTTTGGCATTCTACAAGAGAGAAAAAAATTAGAGTTGGCTGCACACAAATGTTCTTTCACAATATGCCAACAAGATTGGTAGAATAAATTGGTCATACCATCAATCCCAGGAGATTTAGAAGGTTCCATTTCCATTATAGAATCTTTGATTTCTTGTTCAGTCACCATGCAAGACAGCCTCTGATTCATTTCCTCAGATATGGCAGTAGGAATACCTTCAAGACTACAAGCATCCAAGTCTGGATTGGCTGATAAGAACAACTGAGAATAATATTGTTCCAATTCTTGAACCACCTCATGAACAGTGTTACACTTCTGGCCCTCAGAATTGACCAAATTCTCAAGACTGCTGACCTTTCTTCTTTGATTGACAGAGGTTTGGAAAAACTTGGTGTTTTTGTCTCCTTCCTTGAGCCACTGTATTCTTGATTTCTATCTCCAGTACTTTTCCTCTTCTAGATAAGCTTTGTGTAAAGCTTCCTTGCCTCTGGCCCATTCCACCCAATTCCTCTGCCCACCTTGTTGTTCTAGGTTATGCAGAATATGTATAAGTTTGAAATTTGAATTCCGTATTTTGTCATCATCTTATACTGATTGAAATCAATTGTTGACTGCAAACTTACATTAATGTAACTTTTTTAACTGAATCATTGAATAAAAAAATTAGTATTTTCTTATTTCATTTTGCCAGGCTAAAAAAAAATCCTGTGTATCCGCCGCTGCATATCTCGTAACTCGTAAGTCTCCACATAAACAAACAACACATACTATCTTAAAAATACTTACTAAATCTCAAATACGAGAGACAAAAAGATACATGAGTTGAAGCATACATATTTTTTCCTTCAAAATGGTTCACACATAAAAGATTCTGCAGTAACTAATACTTTCAAGAGTCTGATTCTTGATTTTTAATTATCTTCATCTTCATATCCCGCGTTTGCTCAAGACCGCGTCCACATCAATAGAGGCATAAACAGGGATTAACTGTTGACGTCTCCTAAGAAAATAGCTGAATATAGCATCCCTGGGTGGCAAATAATCACCCTTAATCACAGGATGATTGATAAAGTTACCCATCCACGCAGTTATTCCTGGAAATTTTACAGGGTCGAGGATTTTCACGGAGGCTATATCCTCCCAAACGGGCAACGCATATGAAACAAATCCCATTATTAAATCCAAAAACCCAATCGTGTCCCCTCCAAAGAAGATTTTCCCATTTAGCTCTTCTTCAATTTTTTCAAGTGCCTCAATAGCTAATTTCACCCCTTTTTTCTGGTTCTCGCCTTCTGAACAAAGAGCAAGCCACGTTGATTCCACAACCTAACCAAATGCGAAGAAA